TGACTACAATGAAGTTTAAAGGCGATAAAGGGGACACTATTTTTGAAAAATTGATTTTTGGTAAAAGTGCTTTAGAACGAATTGAAATTTAATAGAAAACAGAATAGATCTTAGTGAGAATGTTATTTGTTAACTATTAAAAGAGTGCTGACAATGGATTTTATAAAACAAAAGATAAAGATAATATGAGCCACATTGTGATGGTGACTGATGGCAGATTGCCATATGAGACAAAGTATTAAGGGCACAGAAAGACAAAACAGGGGGCGGGAGGGAAACCTGCCTTTTAATCTTCTCCTTATATTTTAAACACTTTTTCATTATAACCTTACAATAGGACGCACCAGAAAAATGGCAAAAAAAGAGAGTGAGAGGGCAGGGGGGATTGCTAGAGCAATATCCAGAGAGCAGGGGTGAAATCCAGCAGGTTCTGACAGGTTCTGGAGAACCGGTAGCGGAAATTTTGAGTAGTTTGGAGAATCGGCAAATAACACCTCAGGCTACCCCAGAGTGGAGTAGGAATGGAGATTTTGCAATATCCTTCCCCTGCCAAGCCCGCCAAGCCACACCCACAGAACCAATAGTAAAAAAATTGAATTTCACCACTGCCAGAGAGGAATTACACCATACTTGCTTCAGAAAATTTGCAAAATTAGACAATAAATAATCTGAATCATTTAATATTAAAAAGACATCTTTTGAAAAAAGAATGTATAAAAGACTTGTAAAAATGAAAGAGGAGATGAAAGAAAAAGTTAAGAAGATGGAAGTTTCTGTAGAAATCAATGGAGATATAAAACAAATTAATGACAAAGTGGAAATTCTGGAGAGTAGAACTGAAGTTATAAAAAGAGAGACAGAAAGATAATCTGGTATTACGGGAATTGAATTTTTTTTTCAGAACAATTCCAGAGGATTCTGGTGAAGGTATTACAATAAAGAAAGGATTATTAAAGCCTCATCAAAAAAAAATTCAAATAGGATGAGGATATGGAGGAAAGTATTGAAATGTTCTGTGAGATGTCCTGGCACACTTTGTCAGGAAGAAGACAAGAGATAAAATTTTATAGCAGTGGAAAAGTCATGGAATCGTTTTTGTATAGATGACCATAGCAAGATTACTGTATGCATAAAGCTGGAAAGATCTAGCAATGCCCACAATGAAGTTGATAGAACTTGAGATGGCCATATTGACTAGTTTGATTTGAGAAACAATAACCCCCTTGTTTATTGCTCACTGGAAGCCCCTTATGGACATTCTGTGTAAAACAGAAAAAGATGAATTTATGATATGTTGTTTTGATTTGACAGGATATAGAAAGAATCATGATGTAATTTTAGATAAAGAGGTAAATTCATCAATGTACTGATAACAGCTATAAAAATGATTGAAAGTCACTTCTTTGTATCTTTCTTCTTTTCTATTTTTTTTTTACTTTTTTTCTTGTATTTTTAGTTCTCTTTTTTTTCCTTCCTTACTCTATATTAGATTGCATTAGTTTTTTAAAAATGTTTTAATAAAGCTATATAACAAAACCACTCCCCTAACAAGCAGGCTCTCTCCCTTGTTCTGTTGGATTTGTCATAAGGCTTCTTCCACTGGCATACCAATTCTAGAACAAATTAGGAAGCCTGACATCTGACTAAAACAGAAATGGGAAGATACATGTAGCATATGGCTGAATGGACCAGAACCAAGAAGAGGGGGATGTTCTACAATTGAAGAAAACACAATGTTTTCAGTTCCTGAGAGTCTTAAAATCTGTAGCTTCCCAAAGCAGCAATATAAACTGGAGAAAATAAATAAAATAAAAATCTAGGCTAAGTTAAACACATGCTAAATCAAAAAGACAGAGACTAGGGAAACAGCCAGCAAATGGAGTTGTAGGAAACCCAACAATGCCTTATTCATTGTATTGCTATAAAAGGCTAAGGACTTTGTTTGGATCAGTTATTGAAGAGCTGGCTCCCTAGTGGACTAAAGCGGAGAATATGTCTTTGAGGATTTTAAACTTTATATAAATATGCATCAATCACATAATTCCTTTTCAGGGCAAGAAATCCTTTGCAAAGTGAAAGAAAAGTGAAACACTCAGCAAATGAAATAAAAAAAGGAAATGCTGCTTACTTTAATACCAACGCATCCATTGTATCTCTCTAATTTTTCTTCATTTTTACTATAGCCATATATAACTTGCAAGCTTGCCTTTTAAACTTATTTCTGTCATTTGAAGAATCTCATCAGCTTCACTCGGTCACATCATTTTGTTTTTCTTTACTATCAACGTATTATTTCTTCCAGTAGAGTGAATACAACAGATCTGGAAGGGACCTTGGAGATCTTCTAGTCCTGCCCCCTGCTCAAGCAGCAGAACCTATATTATTTCAGAGAAGTGGCCGTCTAGTATCTTCTTAAAAACCTCCAGTGATGGAGCACCCACCATTTCTGAAGGCAAGCTTTTCCACTGGTTAATTGTCCTCACTGTTAGGAAGTTTCTCAATTCCAGATTGCTTTTCTCTTTGGTTAGCTTCCAACAATTGTTCCTTGTCCTGTCCTCTGGTGATTTCTAGAATAATTTGACCCCCCCTTCTTTGTGGCAGTCCCTCAAATACTGGAATACTGGTATCATGTCACCCCTAATTCTTTTCTTTAGACTAGCCAAACCCAAATCCTGCAGCTATTCTTCATGTTTTACTCTCCAGGGCTTTGATCATCTTAGTTACTCTTTTCTGAATTTTTTCCAAGGCCTCAACATCTTTTTGTAGTATGGTGATCAAAATTGGTCTCAGTATTCCAGATGTGGTCTTATTAGGGTTTTATATTTCTTGTGCAATTCACTTTTCATTCCTTCTGTCTGCATGGTGGAATTACCTTCATGTACTTACATGGTGGTCAGCTATTTTTGCATCCAATTTTTGCATTCACTCATTACCTCCCCTTCATTCTTTACTATATTTACCGTTTACCACATACATTTCTTGTGTATCCTATTCCTACTACATTCAACTTACTGTTATGTTCCTCTTGATAAGCTGAGGTCTTACATAGGCAGATGCAAACCCTTCTATGTGAACATTTTCAGTTGACATTCATTTCCACCATTTTTCTACCAGAATTGGCACATCTTAAAATGTTCCCTCTCCTATCACCTTGTGCATTCCTTATATATGTATCCATTAATGTATGAAATAACCAAAAGAGAATTACCTATGCTTATCTTTCTCCCTGCTAAATGCTGAAGGTTTCACTAGATATTCCCTTTATTCTCCTACATGCTGTACGTCCATATTTTACTTACCACTTTCAGCAACTAGCCTTTTAGCTCCATATTTGCACAAAATATCCCATAATTCCATCATGCATTTTTTCTAAACCAATAAATATTCAACAGACTTTTCTCATATTCACATATTCTTCAATGACCTATTGAAGAACAATATATAAATGTGTTTTCCTGATATTGTCAAAATAAAACCCAGATCAAAGAATTATCATTTAAAATACAGGAAAGTCAAAGAATCTTGACCAATTCAGATCAAAAATTGTCAGGCAAGAACATTTCTGATGTTCGTTCATTCAGTCATTCAGTCATTCATAGTGGGATCAGCATCCAAACTAAAATTTAGTATTTAGTATTGTGTTGATTTGATCCATTTTGTAAATCATCTACATCATTTTGAGCACCATTTTTAGGTGAAAATTACATATTTGGAAAGATTTCTCGATTTACCCAAGGTCCATGGTCTCTACTGATAGTCAACTTACAACCACAATTGAGCTCAAACTTTCTATTGCTAAGCCAGATAGTTGTTAAGTGAGTTTTGCCCCATTTCTTGCCACCATTGTTAAATTAGTCACATGGTTGTTAAGTGAATCTAGCTTTCCTATTGACTCTGCTTGTCAAAGGTTGCAAAAGTCACATGACCCCAGGACTCTGCAACCATCATAAATGAGTCAGTTGCCAAGTGTCTGAATTTTGATTATGTGACCATGGGGATGCTGTAACGTTCATGTGAAAAATGGTTATTTTTCAATCGTAACTTCAGTCACTAAATGAACTCATGTAAGTTGAGGATTACCCGTACTTTAATCACGTTTTCCTCAATGCATAACCTTGCTCTTTTGGAAGCTAGCTTTCCCTTAAAAGGGAACAGACAGTCCTACTAAACATTGTATCTCCAAAGTACTTAATATACATCTCTGACAATCATGGGATACAAGCTGCAAAACAGAGCTAGGGAACAATAATTCTACATGAAAAGCTGGTTCTTGGCCAGCCCTAGAGAGAAGCCCTAAATGTTTTAAAATACACATAATGAGAAAGTAATAATTAGAACCTCCAGTGGCATTCATGGGCACTGGATTTGAAAATGGGGTGGATGGTAGTACTTTAACAGGATAAAGATTTTTGTCCTTTTGCCAGGAATACACCCACACGAAGTGTTCTCAAATTTCATTGAAAAGGAGCTGCATGCTTATTAAACTTGTTTAAATAAACAAGAATATAAGCTTGCATTATCACTCCCACCCCCCAAAATGCAGCTAATGAAAAGGTTTAAATGTTTACGGATGCTCTGAAAATGCAGTTTCAAAAGCCACCTTCGATGCAAAGATGATTAAATAATTTTAGCATCTACAAAGCAAATGTTAAAAATTTAGGCAATTATTTATTACACTCTCCCATTTTAATTCCTCATGTGTTCAAGGTGGAGCAGATAGATATCCCATAAAGGTGCAAGCAGAATATTCTATGACTGAAGGAAGCAGGTCCATTTCCTTATGGGGGAAGCGGGAAGGCACACTCTCTTTCTTTATAGCCAAGCTTATAGCAGGGATTACTGCAGGCAGGGATACAATTGTTTTCCGAGATTATTGGAGGGTGAAGGAAATTTCCATCAGTAGTCCGAAGAAGGCTGGCTGACATTCTGGAAAAGAGTTGGCACTTACCTTGAAGTCACTCCCAAGTCAGAAAGGCCCACAATAATAAGCTGCACAGAGCTCTGGTTCTATAAAGACTTTTATTTGGAATGAAAATATAGATATCAACCCCGAACAGTTTATTTCCCCTGTTCCATCCTCACTGTGTTTTGGAAGACAGAAAGAGGAGCGGTTCCAGAGACAGTAGGCCGAGGGCTGTGACCAGAAAGCAGGCTTCTTTCACAGCTAGGCCCTAACTGGACATCTCTCCATGTTCTCATTGCAAAAAGTTCAGACAAGGAAGCAGAAAACTCCTCAATGGGATTTCAATGGTCCTATCTGAGGAAAGGCATCCCACCTCGGCACTGACTCATAGGTGGCCCAGGCTTCTAATAAGCTCCCCCCTCCCACCCCGCACATACACACTTGCCGTGAGAGACTCATAAGGAACCTCAGCCTTATTCTCAGTGGGAGGGTACAGGCAGGCCAGGCCAAGCTGTCAAGACAGCCCCAATAATCTCCCTGGGTGATATCTAGGCCAGCCCCATCCATGGGAATGGGACAGGAAATAGGCCCCTGACCAGAATAAGGCAAAGGAGCAATGGTTAGGGCACTAGCATATGGCCCCTTGGATAATATGGGGTGCAGAAATGAGAGGAAGGGGAGATTTGGTCCGAGACAAAGCCCAAGAAACATTCCCAGTAGCAGCAAGAGAGGGCAAGCCCCTGTCTCACCCCACAGGGCAGGAGGCGGCAATGTGAAGGGATTACTGGCAGATCAAAGGGAGGGGAAGTAAGTGAGATCCTCCATGTTGGTCAGGTTCTCTTGGGTTGGGGGGGGAGGCAAGGCCCACTAGACATCACCATTCTCAATGCGGCTCAGCTGCAACTCTAGCCGTGCAATGCGCTCTCCCTGTGCAGCCACAAGCGCCCGCAGGGATGCCACTTCCCGCAACACCTCTTCAGTAAGCTGCCTCCCTTCCTGCAAATGGGAAAAAAGTTGTTCATTCATTATTTCATCATATTATCCATCTTTTTGCCCCTAAGAGCAATTCTAATGGCACAGCTCAAACAAACCACTCACTCACATTCCTGGAACAGACAGCAAATATAGGACACAATCTGGTGCAGGAAAAGGTGAGGAAAGCAAGTCTGACCCACATTTTCAAGCCTGATCAACACATTTGCACAACTCTATCCTGATCATATGGGAGTCACAATAAGGAAGGTGATCATTGTTAACAGTTCCAAATGAATAAATCTTCTACACGAGTGTTTCTCAACTTTTGTGGTTTTAAGATGTATGGACTTTAACTCCCAGAATTCTCCAGCCAGCAGGCTCAACATACTTGACTGCTTCAATGTTTCTAAGAGCCTGGTTTACAAGGTTGGTTGCAAAAAATTAAAGGGTCATTATTTTGAGCAACAAGGAGATCTGTGCAGACCCATATTCTAACCCAAGAACCCTACACAGCCTTTCTTAAATTGAGAAGTATGCTGATACTTCTCAAAGCTGTGAAGAGCCGCAAGTTTGCTTTTCTGCATGTAGGGAGGGAACAAAGTCCCAAGATGAAGCAGACACCCAGTGCTACTCTACAACACCTTAGAAATCTATTCTAGCCTCCTTGGGGTTGGTTTTGGTCTATGATTATAACAAAGTCCCATCCATCCATCCATCCATCCATCCATCCATCCATCCATCCATCCATCGTTTGGTTCTTCCTCCAACAACTCCTGCTCTCCCCAGCTCAACTCCCTGTAATCATGTGTGGGAAACTCCAAGTCCACCCATCCAGCCCCTCTCTCTCTCTCGGCATCCCCATCTGCCACAAGCAACAGCATAATACCTACCCCACTGGAAGGAGTGACACTAAGAGCAGATGTGGCAGCGGCTGGAGTCATGGCACTGGAAGGTGTGGCACTCAGCCCAGTGTTGGAGGGGGCTGTCGGGCGACCCTCGGGCAACAAGCTTCTTCGGTTGACCTTGAGATCCCGCTGTTTGGTGGGCACATAGGCTTCACGCAGTGAGATTAGGATGGGAGGCGCTGTCTTCCCTGCCATCCATTCCTCTGCTTCCATGGCAGGTTCTGGCCCAGCTGTGTCTGGATACAAGTCATCTTGGAACAGATCTGACTGCAAAGAGAGGACAGCATTAGCTTCCATGACATTGACAGAGAGCACTAGAACAGAGTCCTAAGTTGAGTTATCAGAGTATATTTAGCTGAGACTGAACATGGAGAAGGAGACTGTGGCTGAGACATACTGTTTCACAAACATATGGAGCCCAAAATGTGAACATTTTTCATGTGATAACTCCCAGACTATCCATTCTGCATGAGAAATCACAAAAAGCCAATCCGAGAGATAACTGGCACAAAAGTGAGAAAGAAACACCTTAATTCCTCAGTGTTTGTGGATCTGCTTTTAAATAAAAAACACTTCTCTTAACCCAAACATACTATATTCTTGTACAGCCTACACAATAGTAGAGGGGAAGGTCTCTAGAATCAATGCCTTCACCAAAGGGATTGTAGGTAGTCAAGGAAAATAAGCTTTGAACTGATCCATTCTGATTCTGTTTTAACATTTTTCTTTACATTTCTGAATAAAGATAAATTCTATTGAAACATTTCAAAATCACATTCAGAGCATAATGTTTCATTTCATGAAGGAGGTATGTGACTGAAAGGAAAAGAAATTGTCACACCCAGGTGAAAGAAAGCCAGGAAAGCTTAGATATGTTTCTCAGAATCATATCACTCCAAAGAGATGAAAAATATGAATGAAAACAGATGTGTGCATTGAAACACACACACACACACCTCCCCCACTCTAAACTGCCATGAATATTTTAAACAGAGAGCTTCAAATAGCAATACAGAATACAGCAATTGAGACAAATCCTGTCAAGGAGTAGTTGGATACTATATAGTTGTTCTATAAACTGTCAATTCAAAGACCCTAGTTTAAATCTTAGCACAACTGTAACCTCAAATTAATTTGCAAGAGACTCATGACTGAAATAAGATTGGAACTAGCCTACCTTACTGAGCTTTGTAAAAATGACAGATATAATTGGAACTGAAACTCATTCATTAATATACTAGATCACTGGCTAGTATTATTAAGTCAATACAATTACAAATTAATGCAGAGCAACAGAAGCCAAGATCTGAGGAAAAAAGTGCCAGCCAAATGATTCTTGACATTTTATAATTTGTAATTTGTAGCCCGCTTTGTCTTTTAACACATAGATGGGGATACAGAACTAGGATACTTCCTAGCAAGTTGCTAATAGAGCACTGCAGTGGCAGGATCTTCTTTCTTCCAGATTATGGTTCTAGTATTGCATTTTAATTCTAATATAGGACTTTAATTCTAACATTAGGCAAATAGGTCAGATGCTAAACTGCAACTGCTTGCCTGCCTACTGATGAAGAGCAGGGAAGGAAGATGAGCCAGGAATCCCTTGTAATGAAAATCAGGCTAATGTCTTCTAATGAACTGCAGTAGCGCAGTAGTTACAAGTGCAGTAGTCCAGGCTACTTCTGCTGTCTGTTGGCTACCTGCAATTTGGCAGTTCCAATCTCACCAGGCTCAAGGTTGACTTAGCCTTCCATCCTTCTGAGGTGGGTAAAATTAGGACCCAGATTGTCGGGGGAAATATGCTGACTCTTGTAAACTGCTTAGAGGGGGCTGTGAAGCACTATAAAGCAGTATTTAAATTTAAGTCCTATTGCTATTATGAAGTACCCACCTTCCTTGGCACTGTCATAATAATGGGTTCACACTTGCGCTCATGGAGTTTGTAAAATCTATGGAAACAGAAAGAAGGGACAATTGAGTTAATCAACCCAGAGCTTTAAAAACTATGAGAATAATTCATGCCACACTTTGACTGCCTATCTGCTTTCTTGACATTCACCTCTATACCTTCCTATTAACAATTTAATCCGATTACCTGGCAATCTCACACTTGTTGACATCCAGACCCGGCTTAGGCATCCAACCCATGCCCCGTTGTGGTTCTTTGCTAATAAATGTGTTCAGGAAGTGGATGTATGGTGCTTCTGCTGTGATCTCAAAATACCGGATGCTAGAATCTCCCTGGAAAGGCCAGAAAAGATAGCACAATACATTATGACAGAATTGCTACTCTTTGAATGGCAGAAAAATACATTAGAAAATTATCATTGAGAAAGTTAGCCCTGACCCATAACACATCTGAGATGAAGTCGCATATACTGTTTGTGAGTCAGCCAATTACACTGTTTAATAGTCTGCAATTATATGGGTGCACTGTGCCTAGCAAAATATGAAAGAGTTTGATCAGTAGATCATCTACTCACTGATAATATCCTTAAGGATAATATCAGTGAGTAGATTAAAGGAAAAGAGGTAGACCTGACCAGATTATCTGAAAACACCAAAATATGGCCTGTTTTTGTACGCTTTGACTGGATGTCTTCAACATAAGGATTGCCCTTCAGATACAAAGGTCACTTCCTCTCATCATTCCTAGACAATGTGGTCAATTGCTGATGTAATTCAACTGACAAGAGTTACACCCAGAATTCCCAGGTGTCAGAGACATAGAACACAAAAACATAGGCCTAATTTTATTTAGTAACAACTGGAAAGCCTTATTACTTTGCAATATTAATACTGAATTACAAGACAAGCTACAACAGGGAAGGGAAACTATCAGATCCTCAGCAGACTCCCATGTATTTTGATGAAAGAGTCTATACCAATTAATTGAGGAATCATGCTATCTGTGAAGATAACACATACAATATAGTGGAAAGGATATTCTATCTCAATCAGGCACCATCATGCATACGCCTACATATACAAACAAAGTAAGAAAGCCTACTTTGCCACAGACGTAGATAACGTTGGTGTCAGGATCATAGAAGGGCAGAAGGGCCCCATTGCTTGAATCCAGTTCCTGCAATGCCATAGGTTCTTCAAGATTTTCCTGAAATCGACAGAAACAAGAAAGCACAAAGGCATATTATAACCTCTTTCAGGTGGTTACCTCCATATCAGCCCCTTTTGTGTAAGGTTTGACTTCGTTGCTGCCTACTTCCTTGCTGGTTGTGAATAAGAGAGATGAACTCTAGACTGGTTTGGGAAGGTACTGTATCAGAGAATTGCTTGAGAAAGAGAATATTCTCACCCAGGCTTTTTAATTGTAGTAGAATCTTCAACCTTCCTCAGATACTACCTTCACATTGTGGGGATGGTGCGGGGCAGTGATATGATTGTAGAAGATGGGGCAGGATTCTGTTCATCTCCTTCAAGATATAATCACGTGGAGTTCTCTTGTGGAACCAAACTTATCTTATGGCCTGCCAGTGGCCAGCAGAGCTGGTGGCAGACTCAGACAGTGGGGAGGTTGGGGAGGAACAGGGGCCAGTCCTGGAGTCTGGGGAAGGCTCTGATGAGTGCTCTGCATCGGAGGAAGAGATGGGGCCACGGCCGTCCAACAGTTATCAGCTGCCTTCAGAGTCAGAGATCAGTGGGGCAGAAGAACAGCTGGAGGCTGTTCCTGATGTGTGCATGCACAGAGCTGCCAGGAGAATGGAACAGTTAAGGAACAAGGGCCAACTCGGGAGTAAAGCCACAAGTGAACAGTGAATGGCCCCTCCCACAGGGAATAAAGAGGAGCGAAAGGGGAGTGGAGTTTGCAGGAGACAATTAGTTTGATTAATTAGTGTGAAGATTTGTTCGTGATTCTCAGACTCTGTGCCAATTATTTTCTTGTACAGCATTGCATTTAGAAGATATCAGCCTGGCAGCTCTCTAAAGCCTGATAAGGTCTGTGGTTATAAATTCACCTTTGAAAGACTGTTTGCCAGGACTTTGCTGGATGTGAATGAGAGGAATCCACATTAGCTTAATAAAAAGGGGTTTTGTCAGGACAAGGACCCTGCTTCATGATTTTGTGAAGCCTAGGTCAGAACAACTTAAAAGCAATACCCATTTGAGAACAAAGCAACCTTCAGAATGGGAAGGGAAGAGGAGGCTGCTGCTCAGGCTCTTGGAACTGATAAGGGCGTCTCTTCTATCGGAGTCTTCCTCCCCACCCAGTTGCTCCCCACTCCATCCGCCTTCCCACTCACTGGGTCCCAGAGAGCCAGCTGCCTTTCGCTCATACGGCTGAAGCCTGTTGTAAAGATCTTCCCATCAGCCAGGAAAATGGCTCGCATTGGCCGTGCTCCTTCATGGGCCTTCTCCCTCTCCTGGGGGGTAAGAGGGAAAGGGTCAGGTTAGAGAAAGCAGGCAGGTTCCACAATAGACAATAGAAATTCTCCCTGCCAGCTCTGCTCAGACATCTCTCAAACTGAATCCAGACTAAGCTCTACTACGAGTCATCAAGATTTAAATTCAACCTGAAGACGACTGAACATTGTTGCAGGTATTTAGGCATATAATTTCTTCATCTCTGTCCTACCTTTCCATTTTGTCCCCTTTCTAATGAAACTCAAACGTATAGCCAAATCCAAGTGTTTCCTCCGAAGGTTGCCTAGGAACAGGCTAGATTAAGTTGGGAGGCCAGTATGGTTTTTCTGATGAGAAGTTAAGAACAGCAAAGGCCTCATTTTTAATTTGCTTCTGGGCAAAGAACCCAAGATGTTAAAACCATGGCATCCTACAAGAAAAAGAAGCTTCTTCTGTCACTTCTCGCTTCAAAATTAATCAGGCCAGCAATTACTAAACCTCCTTGCTGACATCCTAAGAAATATAATTTGACTCCATCAATATTTTTTAAAAACTCTTGCTTGCTCTCTAAATATTTAGAAACATAATCCAGAAAAAAAACAGAAAGACAAGCAAAAGAGGAAATAGAGTTATAAGAATTATAAAATTAAATCACAATTTCAAGGTAATATTTAGTTCAAAATATTAAAATATATCAGTTTAGGACAATGTAAATAATATGCAATTATTGATAATTATTATATATCAGGATGAGAAATTACTGTACAATAATTTCTCCCTAATCTAAAAAGTATTACCCTTAGATGTTGAAACCTTGTAGAAGAAATTCAAATTTCAGATGTGTTACAAGATCATATATGAAATTCTACTCTAGGAATCTTTTCCATGTTGAATTTTATATTAAATTTGTTTTTCAAAAGAAGATTATTTTTAACATTGATGTATACTCCCACAACTTAATTTGCCGTTCTTTCACAAAAAAGAGAATACACAATTTCTAACAACAAGCACCGGGACAACTGAGACATAAGTGAAATTTAGGATTTTGTTATTGTTACTGTCTTTATTCTCTTAAATTGTGCTGATTTTATGAACATAGTTTTGGACTGAAGAACAGTTTAACCTGCTGTTTTACATATATATTAATTGTTAAGTTTATTAGCATAACCACAATTTCTAAAAATTGTGGGGGGAAACCAACAACCTATGAACAACAGGAAATTAATGCAGAAAGAATTAATGCAGAAAGAAAGGTCCAGTAGCTCAGATCTATGTTATATTAGCTGTTAATAAAAATGTAAAATTCTGTTCATTGAATTATCTGCTCTGGAGGTAATTTTTATATAGTAATTGAAAGTTTGATTTCCACCATAAATGAGTACCGGTAGTCATATTTAAGAAGCACAACCTGAGAAGGGAAAACATTTCTAACTGATGCTCAAACTGCACTGAGAAAACACCTTTATATTTTGTACAATAGGGTTTTATTGTATTTTCAATTTTAAAAGTTAGCAGAAATTTAGAAAGCATAAACAAACATGTACGTATACAGAAAAAAGAAAAAAAACACTGGGTGGCCATCAAAACATTTTCTAATTCTTTGCCTTTCCTAGTTTTGATGAACTGTCCAAAGATCTAAAGAACAGAATACTTTATATGATTTTTTCCCTACTCCACTCTTTTGCAAATCTCAGCTGCTAGATTGCCACTTTTATTTTAAAAAAAACTTGTCTCTCTCTTTAGGAGCTAAAAGAATTTGGATAGGGCTGACAGAAAAGTAAACAAGGGAACCTAGATTCAAGACCAACTTTTATCCCAGCATTTGCAGTAATAATGCATTCTTCAACAATTTTCTGGGGCTGATATAACTCTACTACACAGAGATAATTGTATAAATAATTAAATCTCTACCAGGTCTTCTCCGGGAAAGACAATATTTATGCTATCATCACTGGTACCTTCCCTAAGCCATCATCCCCATCTCATTTAAAACACCCCCCTTCCCCCACGTTATTAAATCATAAGATGATAGCCTGAGTTCATTATAGTGAAAGGGGTACCTTCAATCTATTTGCTTCATTGACTGAAGGTGGGAGGCGGGTAAAGAAAGGCCTTTCCTCATCCCCAAAGTTTGTCATCGCTTATCAATAGCAACAGGAGTTGCACATAGATACTTCAACTTCAATTTTGGCTTGGCTGACACAGCCCAGCACTGGTGACACTGTCCAGATTTCTTGCTGACAGTTACATTTAAATTTTTTTTGCATGCAGGCATCATTTATTCTGCTGAAAACAAAGTTACAAAATCGGACTACCAGTTGCAAAATTTCCATTTGCCTTAAGAGAGCACCTCTGCCTCAAGCACATTCCACATTACATTCTTTCAGTTCCCGGGGTAGGATTCTAGTTCTGCAAACACAGACCTCTAATGAAAACTAAAAACAAAGTGAATCCTGAACGTTATAGGATACTACTCTGAATACCCACCAATGTGTCATTTTATACCAATAAACATTGCAAATTGTTTTGTAATTCTGTAGATCTGCAGTCGCCTTACTGCAAACCAAGGACAGTACAAGCTAATTCACAGATACGATTCAATAACCAAGCTAAAACATGGAACTTGAAGTAATAAAACACAGAAAAGAAAATGGGGAATCTATCTCAACACTCTAAAATATAAAAACAGTCCCTTTGAATTGCCAAGATCAGACTGGCTTGTCACAATGCCACAAAACTAATCGTGACACCGATGGAACTCTCAAATCATGCACCACTTCATGAATGGGACAATGTAACCAAGAACTCAAAGAGTGTCAGACTTACAGCTATAACTTGCCCACGGCGTGGATCAATGATGCGCACACTTTTGTCCTTACAAGCTGAACAGAACAGGCTGCCATCCCGGTTCCAGCTGACATTATAAATGATGTCCGGATGCAGATTGTCAAGGTAGTAAAGCTCTTCTGCGGTGCCCACATTCCACACAATAACTACATTATCACAGCCTGGAATAGAAAGGGACAACTAAATGGTTTATTGTGTCCTTTTTCAGACGGCTCACAATTTTTCAACATCATCCTGCTTGCAAGCAGAAAGCTCTCAACTTCGCTGGCCCCTTTCCTGGTGGTACCTGCACTCAGAAGGATATTGCGAGCAGTTGGATGCCATGTGATGATGCCCACACGTTTTGAGTGTCCTTCTAGAACCACCACTGGTTCGGTCAGAGGCACTGTGAGGCCACTCTCCGGGATCTGCCATACCTGAAGAGAACAAACAGTGCAATACAATGCCAGTGCTTACATGTGCTTCATTCCCTCCCATCAATATTACACCTCAAGCACAACCTCCCCTTCTCCCTAACAACATCCAACACCAGTGAGAATTCATTTTGGAAAACTCTATCCTCATCATCATGCCCTTCATAGTATTATCCACCTCCTATTACATAAAGCCTAAGAACAGCACCTCACATTTTAAAAGCAAAGAAAAAAACCTCCCCTAAATTAAACTCTGCTCTGGGTATAATATGGCTCCACCTACACTGCAGCTTTCAACCTCCATCAAATGAAGAACTGTAGCTCTGCCAATAAAAGACTGCCAGTCCTGTTTTATCCAAGGGAAATATTCACATATGCTTTATTTTGCATAATTTATTCTGCCTTTGCAGAAATAAGAAGCATGTGGAACACTGGATTCTGCCTCCCCCCCCCCCACTGCTAGAAATCTTCTATTCTTCACATTGCTCATACCTCCCCAGCTGTGAGGAAAACTTGTCACATACAAGATTGATTGCAATTGCCTCAGCTTTAAGGTATATCTGGAGGCATGGCCACTGAAGAGACCACTTTATTGCCCCACCCCACCCCTCCATACACACGTTCCCCATTTGCATCTCACCATAACAGTGCAATCCTCAGAACCACTGGCAATTATCTGATCATTATGTGGACACCAATCAATGTCCAAAACTGGTCCAGTGTGCCCACACACGGTAGGGTAAGATTTATCAATGCGCCCTGTCTGGGGGAAATAAAGGAGATAAGAGTTGACATACAGTTCAGGTCTCTCATAATGTTGTTGCAAGCTGGAGTCCCATTCTCTGTCTCAATCTTTTCCCAATATCAAGTCTCTTTCATAATCCCTCTCTTCCACCCCCAATTGTCTATAAGAATTAATCCCTTAATACAAAGACGTGAGAAACATAGAGACAATGAGCGGTCATTTTTATAACAGTTTTCTGCTTCTCCTCCTCCCTCCCCTTCCCTTTTCCACCTTGAGCCCATCCTTCACCTTTTGCAGCGGGAGCACCATAAAGGCCCCCCCTCCACTGGCCTCGACAATCACTGCCACAAACTTGGGATTGACAGCACAAAAAGTGCTGTCCCAGGTGACTCGCGAAACCCGGATGTCATCATAGCACTGGTCATTCTTGACAGGCTGCCCAAAGACGTGGCGGAATTTGCTCTGACGCACAACCTTACGAAAGGACATGACTGGAAAGAGATGGAGCAAAAGTCAGAGAAAGGGTGCACACACAAGTATAGCCCAGGAATTCACTTATGACTGCTGCCTAGTTGGATGTCTTGCAACTTCAAGAGCATCTCAGCCAATAAAACCAGTCAGCCAATATTTGATGCTTAAGGGGACTGGGCCAGGCCAATGGTGCTCCTAATGAAGAGGAGAACTGCACAAGAAGGAAGAAGTAACCACCCGTTTCATTCTTAGTTTCAACCAGAGCACGGGTATCCAACTCGCTGTGTCACGTTGCTGTCATGTTTCACGATGTTTTTCCCATTTGTGGAGCTGGGGTGGGCGTGGCCTGTGCGTGACACATCTGACTGGCGGGCCGCCAGTTTGACACCCCAGATCCAAAGCATATGCATCTCCTAAAAATTGCACTATGTAAATTGGAAGACAGACTTCATTATCCTATTCATTGGAGAAAAAGTAAAAAACAGTTCCACACTGTCCCCATCTTTAAAAGAGAGGCATGATAAAACATCAGAAACTAAATACAGGTAGTTTTTGACTTATTATCACAATTTGGACCTGAACTTCTGTTGCTAAGCAAGGGAATTCTTTAAGTGAGCCATGCCTGATTTTATGACGTTTTTGCTACAACTGTTAAGTGAATCAGGGCAGTTATTAAGTGCATCATGCTGTCAATGAGCAAATCTGGCTTCCCCCATTGATTTTGCTTGTTGGAAGCCAGATGGAAAGATTGCAAATGGCAATCACATGAACCTGGGACCCTGCAACCATCATATATACATGCCAGTTGCCAAGCACCCAAATTTTGATCAGGTGACTGTGGGCATGTTGCAATGGTTGTGAGAACAAGGATCAGTTCTAAGTTGCTTTTTCAGTGCCATTGTGATTTCAGTCATTAAACAAATAATTGCAAGTAAAGGACTACATGTAAAGCAGAACTAGAATAATCAGATGGCATTAAGGCAGAGTAAGACCTAACTCAGAGAAAGCTCACCAGAAAGCCCATTTGGTGCCTTCTAACTAGAGACCCAAAATAAGAAGGGGACTACAGAGAATGAGGTGGCTGGATAGAATCATAGAAGCAGTAGGCATGAGCTTAAATGGACTCCAGAGGATAGTAGAGGAGGAACATTGTCCATGGGGTTGCGATGGGTTGGACATGACTTCACAACAAATAACAACAACAAACCACAGACGAGAGATAGAAATGGATTTACCTGCACCACTACAAAGCCTTAATCTTTAAATCTATAAAACATAGAAAGCAAACTGGGAGGTTGCCCCTAATACCAGATCTGGTCACAGTCAGAAATCAAGCCAGACCTCAAACAGAACTTTTTCAGGGTAGAAGGGAGCAAATGAAGTCCCAACAACAGCAATACAAACCATTCACTTATTCAGAGTCTAATTTCAGCATGCACTGAATGACTTCTGGGGAGGTGAGCTAGGATTACTCAGTGGGGTGCACCTGCTTTCCATTCTTTTCATCAAGAGGGATCCCCCTTATTTCCATGGCAACCAAGAGGCAGAGCCCACAGAAGCAAACGTCTTTTAGAAATTCCTAGCAGATCAGGTGGATTTAAGAGTAGGCAATCATATAAATTCTTGTGCACACCCTGGAGAATTTGGAGGGGAAACAGGGGTATAAAACTGACTCCCATCTAATACAGTAGGAGAGGCACCTTTGTGATATGGCTAAAGACACCAGGCTAGAAACTGGGAGATGCTGAATTCTAGTCTTGCCAAGGTCCCGAAGGTAATTCTCAGTCCTAAGAAGGCGGCAAGACAAGCCACACCTGAAAACATTGATAAGAAAACTGCAGAGACTTGTCCAGACAGTCACCAGGAGCAGGCATACACATACATAAAACCAAACCCATATTAGGTGGCCAGACGTTACATCTAGATTCTAGAACCTTCCTAGGAGGGGGGAGAGTGGAGAAACGTAAAGGGAAGTGGGAAAGGAGGGGGACAGAGAGAAACAGAGAGAGGAACTGTTTTCCTGCAAATCAGAGTCCCAGTTCAATTACTCCACTGGAGCAACCGGATGTGCAAGGGGAAAAATATGCAAGGAAGACTCCAGTTGGAGCAAAGAGGAAGAGGGAAATCTAAGCAAAGCAAAACTTTTTCTTGCAATCCCAGCAAAAAAATATATAATTGGGGGGAGGGTAAAGGAGAGGTAGAAAGAGAGCAACCCGGAGGGAGGTTTCGACCCTCAGCGCATCAGAGACCAGCTTCGCAAACAGCGAAAACGCCAAGGGGGGCTCCAGCCGTATGCAAAAGCCTTTCCCATTTCCTGGCAACCGGCGCGACCAGCTGAGGGCGAGCCGCGTTTACAAGCAAGGCAGCCACCGCCCCTCGATGTTTAAAGCCAAGTTCAATCTGAAGCTGGCCGCCACCTTCAATTCCCGAGCACCGGAGGGGGAGGAAAGAAAAAAAGGCAAGAGAGAAGCCAGGGCGGTGTTACTGCTGCCCAGTCCGGAGGCGGGGAAAACGGAGGGAGGGTGATTTTTGGCAGCCTGCCTTCCGACCTTCGGACCCGGGAAAAAGCTCCCGGGCCCCTCATCCACCACTACCCACCACCCATCAGCGCGCCCAGGACGCGGTCGGCTACCTCCACTCACCGGCTTGGAGGAACGGAACCGGAGCAGCCTCTCCCTTGCGCACAGCCCAGGGCGGTGCAAGCGAAGGGAGGGACGGAAGGCCCGGAGTGGGCCGGCCTCTCGGTGCCTACAGGAAATGACCCAGGCGGCGAAGGAGGCGGAGGAAGCTCGCTTCCCAAGCACCGGGTTTTTAGTTTTCTTTTTTAACCTGCTTTGCTGCAGGAGTGGCCTAAAAACACGGAGGAGAATCTCCTTCGGCTCAGGAGGTGGCGCGGAGGCGAGAAAGCCCGACGAGGGAATAAGCAGCCGAGCGACCGAGCGACCGCTGCTTGCTGGAACTTCCGCAGCGAACTCGCTCGGGGAAGGATCGGCCGCTGGGTCCGCCTGCAAATCAAAGACTGCGGCGGGGCTAGGCCAGGCCAACCGCCGGAGGGGAGAGGTTCAGTTTGGCAGCCGGGATTCAGAGGCAGTGGTCGTGGGAACTCCTTTCGATGAAGAAAGCGCCTCCTTTTCCCTTCCCGTTTGTTCCTAGCAGCAATTCGTTCTTTAAGGGAAGGGCGCCGTATTCCCACTGCCCAATACTTTTCTCCGCGATCGCTTTCTACGCGCGGCTTTCCCTCTTTCAGTGGGAGGCGGGCGGGCGGGCGCGCACCCGCAAGCCTTATTAAATAGCATCCTGGGCGGCGCGCTCTCCTCGTTTGGGGTCTACGAGCTGCAGCCTGGCGTCTGGCTTTCAGCCCTTTCAAGCTGAATGCTTCCGCTGGGCTGGGATTTGTTACGGCTCTTTACACAGCTGCTCTTTTACGGTGTCAATCAGTGCCTTTCAAATTTGGCAACTTTTAAGATAGGTGGAGTTCAACTCCCGGAATTCCCCTGCAGGCTGGGGAATTCTGGGAGTTAAAGTCCACACGACTTCAAAGCTGCCGACTCTGAAAAAGGCTGGTGCAAATGAGTCCATTGTCAAGCAGGGAGGGGTCGAGAGTGTGAATAATTAGAATTGCAAGAAGAGTTGGAAGGGGCTAGAAGTAAATCAGCTAAACCACCCATGAGAAGTGGTCGTCCACTCTCTTAATTTCCAGAGAAATAGAGACTAGGAAAAATGACCTTGTCAAAGATATGCAACTATTACCCGGGCCAGTTATGGCGAAACCTTTCGGCCAAACTGGAACGTGCGTTCATGTATGCGTGCTGCAGCGCCGGAAACCTGAAGACCAGCTGGCTGGCATGCACATGCCTGTTTTTTTTGCTATTGTAGGAAGTTAAAACCCATCCCTCTCCCAGAAGAATGAAATATCCTAGGAAATATTGAAAAGGCAGAATATTATATTTCCCTGGATGTGAAAGGGGAGAAACATGTTTTAAAGACAGAGTAGCTCCCTGCAGCTTCCTGCCCATCCCCCTTTGTCAATGGGCCATTAAGATGCCCAAGCCAGTCTATTCTACGTAATGAAGAGTTCTCCCCTTCAGCTCCAGGGTAATGGGATTAAGGCATGATAGTATTAGCCCTTTACACAGCTCACCACATGGCATCTGAGAACTCAACCAAACATGAGACTCAAAACACAGCCTAGAGA